TTTCCAATCATTTCAAAGAAATACTACACAATATAAAATACTGTGTACTGCAAGGCCACAATGTGTCAATGTCGACAGATAAACATTAGCCCAACATGACATGCATTAGGACATTTCCAGGTGAAAATCTAGTAAATAGTTTCAGAGAAAAAAGGAGTGCGCGCCTCATACAGACACACAAACTTTTTGTTTTGTTACCGGCTGTTGGTCATTTTAAGTCCAGCAAACAGAATACAGAACAAACTGGGAATTTTGAATTTAGGTAAATCTAACTTGATTTATGCTAAATGATTTGAGTCCTGTGAGAGACGACAGCATTATGACCAACTGGGCGTTACCTATGTGACTTATGCAATGTGCACTAAATGAAGGGGAAGTGTACGTTTTGAATGGAATTTGCCCTGTGGCTTCTGTCCCACTGTAGCAACGCAACACTTACACCAGACCAACTGATCTGACTTAATATGTATTCAATCACAAATATACCTTACAAATTTGATTGTGAGAATGTTTAACTGATGTTATTTTCATTTGATAAGGTACTATATCATCTGTGACTGCAATAAAAAAATGAGGAAATTACAAAAGTTTAAGTGATTACCACAAAGGGTGTCGGGGTGATATCAGAGAACAGGTGGACCGGCACCCCCCGGCTGATGAACACAGCAGCGGCCAGGCTGGCGAAGCGTTTGCTGCCGCCCCCGCTGGGGGGGTGGGCCCGGGCGTCGTACCCAATCACCACCCCACGCTCCTTAATGTTATCAAAACTGTCCTCCAGGTAGCTACAGAAACCCTGTAAAAAAGAAAAGATTCAGAGAAATAGGAGAAGAATGTTTCTAAACTTGCATTGTGTGACATTTAACAACACCTACAGGTAGTCAGTAAAAAAATCGCTGCACTGAGATACTACTGTGACATGTCTTTTCAAACATCAGAGAACAAAATCAATAACGTCATGTCTGGCTTTGCATGTGACTTGATGCTTAATGTGTGGTAGTAGTTTATCCATTAACCAACCTGTGTGGTCTGGATGATAGTGAGGTCATTCATACAGCATGTGCCGGGGCCCATAGCTGCTCTCAGACCTGCTGTACCAAACTCCATCCTGGAGGAGAAGCATTTCTTCAAAGCCTCCACCGCACCTTCCTTCACCAGGTCCTGCACCATTGACACGGTCTTGGGATTCTGGGGAAGGAAAACATGAACATATTTGAATAAATCCAACATAATTAAATGTATTAATAACAGTCAACTGGAGATTAGGTTTGAAAAGTTAGTTTGATAGTCAATAAAACATCAGAAAGTAATGTAAAAACTGCACATTTTCCCAAATCTCAAGAAGATTTGACTACATTACAATACTAGAACATTTACTTGAGCATTAAAGTGTTTGGCAAGATATTTGAGAATAGATCTATGCTGAAGACTGCAGTTGAAAACTGGATGGCTCGCTAAGGACATTTAAAGAAACATGTGGTTTAGGTCTGTTAAGTTAGTCAGTGTGTGTATATGGTTACGTTTATATAGCACTTTTAAACAAGTGCTTTGCTGCTAATAAATTGTTATGTGTAATATAATATAAAGCTACTATAATATGTGCAGTTTCAAGGAAGGATGTACTTGTTCTTCTGAGGGACTTACAAGCAAAACGCAGGAATCTTTATTAACTATATTGCATTAAGTTGTGAATTAATATCGTGTCCATTTTCCCAAAAAGATAATAACTTGTACTGAAGAATAAGTCTGAGGAGAATTGGCAGCCATAAACACAGCATGTGGGTCCACATGATGGTTCCTATTAAAATGTGCCGTTTGACAAACTGCCCTAACACAATTATGTGAAGACTAATGAACCAGGGTCCCTTTTCTAATGTGACCTGATGAGAGGCATCCCCCGTCTCTTTAAGGCCATGAATGACTTGGTTTGTTTAGGTCTGAGGGCCGGATGCACGTTAGTCTGATTACACGCCAGTTTGCTCTTTTACACGAGACCTGAGCTTTCTCTCTGTGAAATTACTAATAATCAGAATATCTGTCTGTTTAAGTTCCTTTGTCCTTTTGATGAGGACAGTAGGGAGGCAGAGAAACATAGCATGTTAAAGATGTTGTGTTTTGATTTACAGCTAAATAATTGTAACTTAACTAAATAAACGTATACACCGAGAACACAAAGCTTTATTTTAAAAATGCATTATTTCCATACATTTTCCTTGGAGGTTTCCAGAGAACTATGATTTTGGTAGGGTTAAAAGGTAACCTATATTAAATAACTGCTCCAATTATATGCATTCATTATTTATGTATTTATTGGAGACTTGCCTGTTGACAGATTTTACATTTTGCATGTTAAACTTACTTGGTAAAACTACAAAGGATTTGTGATTATTTATTGGTTTGGGAGGGGAGCAAATAATCAATGTCTCTGTATTCCCTTGAATAATAATAGTCATGCAGGATTTGTTTATGAGCCTAGAATTATTATGACAATTACAGACCTGTAAAATAAAGCATTATTAAAGGTCACAGTAAAGTGTTTCTATTAAAAGCTTATTATGATATAGCCTTTTTGTGTATGATGTCACTCACACTTGTACCTGAAGCCACATTTGCAGTAAAAGGTAGTTAGTGATTCTTGTGAAATGCTATAAAAAACTATGGGGGAAAGTAAATGTACTAAAGTTGCTTACTTTGTATTACTTTTAACTTTACTTGAGTAACTCTATTTCTGCTCCTTTAAAATGATACTCAACTAAAACTCAGAGGGATTTTTTTATATTTTCTGGCATAATTCGCTAATAAACAGATTCAGATTATTAATACAAAATATACTCAACTAATCAATCATGATGTATTATTAAGATCAAACTACCAAGCATATTAAACTAAATTAGCTTCACCTTAACCAACTGCAACATTAAAGTGATGAACATATGAAATCAATAGTTATAATCCAATAATATGATAAACACATTGGGACATTGAGTACTCAATGCATTTCTATGTCCATACACTGTAGTAAATCAACTTTTAGTAAACAGATCAGACAACTTCCTCCACCACTCTAAACATATTATCACGCTACACACTATATAATAATAGCATACAGTAGAACAGAACAGTGGCTGTAAGTTATAGTTTGACAGTGAATCCCTTATAACCCAGCAGGTAACAGACTCGGTACATGCAGCTAGCAGCTAGCTGTCAGCTCACCTTGTCAAACTGCAGCCACTGCCTGACAGCCTGCTGCAGCTCAGAGTCTCCCGCTATGGATGAACCGTTCTCCATGTCGCTGCTGTTCCGAGTCAAGAAGCTGTCCAGCTCACCAGATATGCTCAAACGAGGTGAGTATGCTCACACTGAAGCCTTTAACAGCACATAAAAGGAAAAATGCAGCTGAAGATGTGATGACTGTCGACAGCGCGGGGCGGAGCGACGTAACGCGTCACGAGTTTCTCATCTGCTGCCTTCACAGGTTTCCGCAATCGTGGTAATTATGTGATATGACGCAAGAGGGGTTCAATGACTGTTTCAATACAGTCTATGGTTTCAACTAGTAAGAAACTAAACCGAGATAAGTCAAACCAAATCTTGCAATGGTGGGATGTGAATATTCATGTTACTAACTATCATTTAGTTATTTCCCATTGTTTGAACTGTGGTTTTAGTAGCAAAGTAGTATTTAAAATAGTACACAAAAGTTGTATTGTAAAGTGTCTCTTTCAAATTGTTAAGAAAAATACACGAGTTTTACTTTTTCTATTGCATAAATGAAAAATCCGGGTTTGAATTTAGAAATCTGAATTACGTTTGAATATTGTCCACTGACTCTACACGTTTTTTTTAATGACAGTTAAAATATGAAGAAATTATACATGTGAGCTCATCTTCCTCTACTTTTATCCAAAACTGTAAAATAAACAAAACATCCATATTTTAAATGGTCATAATCTCGGTCCTCCAAGGCAGTATTTTTGTTTTTACTCTTTCAAGCCTCTGAATGAAAACATGTATTCTCATCTTTTCTATACAGTTTTAAAAAATCTGAGATAATGTGTGTCTCTTCATCTTTTTTGACCATACCTTGGAAATAAATGTGGGATCTACTAATATACAAAATACAAATACCTGATATTGCAATACGTTGCACATCTGGTGGGAAAAAAAGAGACATTTAGGGATTGGAGCCATTTTTTATGTATCATCACCATAAATTACATAAGAAATTAATTGTGAGCAATTATTAGACAGTTACTGAATACACCATGTGAACAGGTCTTAGATAAAGCCTTACATGATTTCTCTTCTGAATCACAGAACTCCAGCCATGCCAGAGCTGATTCAAGTTGTATCAGTACACAAAACTTCAGGTAGCCTTGTTTCACAAAATAACTGATGAGACAACTTTCTGCAGATCGGCATTAAACAAGTGTTATTCAGGTATTTATAGTATGTTCACATGTTTTAAATCTCACTCACTAGAACAAGGCATCTCAGTCATTGAGTAAACAAATGAACATTTCAAAGATTTAAAACAAACCTTCCCATTCTTTGGTTCAAAATGCACACAACTTCAAAGACTGTGTTCAGAGCTGAGGCACTATGAGATGATCCTTCTTTCCTTCAAAGAGCAGAGTCTGTTATTAATTCAATATGTAATAAGCAGAAACTAATGTGAACAAAGAAATTGGAGAATATGATAACTATGACATCCATAGATCAATTTCAGCCATTACTTATTAAGCAATCTAATGATAATTGATACGTTGATGCAACTGAATGTTTGGTTTGTTTTGAAGACAGTAATTGCCCAAAATGGACAATTTACCTACAATACAAAGTGTAGTGCTATGAATCACTCTAGACTGTTTTGGGGATAGTTGTACAGTGTTGGAGATTTAAACTGGAGAGATGTCTGCCTTTTTTTTTTTTTTTTAAATATATTGGTACTAGATGGCATCTGGTTTGTGGTGCTCTAAACAGCAACAGTTTTTTTTTTTAAATAACTAACAGCAATGTCTGTTTCAGAAATCAGAAATCATGACCCAGTTAGCCAAGATAATCAAAATAACTTGTTGTTGGGAGGATTATTATCTTTCTAACGGTCTACTGTACACATGCCAACCGCATCGTCGCATATAAAAAGGACTGCATCTGCTCATAGGCTTGTGCTTTTAACGGGGTGAGATTTAAACATTGAGGGTGTCCTCCACGGCTGAGCTGCAATGAGCTGATTGAAACATAGCACTTAAGGTAAGAGGAAAATAATGAACTTTCCCTTTAAAAAAACTGATCTTATGAACTCCTACCTGGTTTCTTACTTGTCTGTCTCCAGATACATTAAAACAATGAATTAGTTGTTAAAATGAGGCCACTGTTCGATAAAGGTTATTATTCACACTAACCACAAGGAGAAACTGTACAAAAGCAACTCCAGAATCAAACAGAAAATACCTTTTTTTTTTATAAAATACAGCTCCAACTTTTAAGGAAAGCTTTGCTTGTCATGATCATCCCTTCTGGTTATACTGCATATACCTTTCTAAACTATTCAATGTATCAATTCAATGGTCAAGGATCAAATATCATCAATGCAAAAATAAAAACATCAACCAATCCCGTTTAAAAAGAAAATGTCAAACCACATTTTTGTTGTTTTTCGAAAGTTGATATAAATGGGTATGTAAGCTTCACAGGCCCCTGAATTTAATTTAAATGAATCAAAAACATCCTTCAGATTTTGTGTTATCAGCAAATGTTGTTGTTCAATGAATCAATATTGTATTATGATGACACTATAATGATGTATTAGGAGTGTTTCTCAGTATGGGACTTGTAGAAACACGAGGAAAGATTCAAGAGAGAAAAACCTGTTTAAATGTTCAAATAGAAACCTGACTATCACAACAACAATGGCTCTGTTCTGCTCAAGTGGGCTCTTTAGTGTGAACGTGAGTCAACATGCACAGTACCAGGACATGAAAACTAAAGCAGATCAAAATATTCATTACTCATTTTATTAATTACAACTGTGCTCTTCTTACTGTGACATTTGAAAAGGTCTTCCATAAAACAGGGCTATGAACCGTCTCCAGCAGCACTGGCAGTCTAACAAAATGCCTGAGACTCCTGAAATGTCCTGACCACACACGATGAACTGGTCATGAAGATCACTGCCGTCACACACACACTGGTGCTATCTGTGGCGTTTCCTCTGTTTGATGGTAAACAGGTTCTCATCCGTTGGGTACTGTGAAGCATCGGAGTTCTTCAGGTATCGGTTCCTCTTGTTCCTCTTTCTTTTCTCTCCCTTTGGCACTGACCCCTGCATCTCTTCAGTTTGAATCCAACTGTATTTTGGTAGATTTTCAGGAGCATGATTCCTTTTCCCCAACTTCTTCCCCTTCTTCTCTGTATCTCCTCTTTTGCCTCCTCCTCTGGGAAAGTCATCCGTTTCATTCAAAATTATTTTTTTGGGTGGAAGAGGTTTTTTCGAAGTGGGGACCGGTCTCTTCGGTTTCCATGGTTTCTCAGTGCCTTCCTGTTGTTTGGGCCTATTGTTCAATCTCGCTTTGGGTGCTGGAGCTTGAAAGTCATCGTCATTGAAAAAGATATGGCCTGGTTTGTGGTTGCTAGGGCTTTGGCGAGGTGTATGGTGGGTCTGTTGGTTGCTTTTGTGATGGCTGAACTTCTGTCTCTTGTTTGGCGGTCCTGGAGTGAAAGGGGTCTGAGAACTGTTAGTTAAAAGGCCATTTTTTTTCAGCTCTGCGAAAAGAACAAAAAGAAAAAAGCATTAATTTATTATGTATCTAAAATTAATACAACTCAAGACCACAGGTAAGACAAAAATGATGACTTCATTTAAGTGAAAAGGTGTCTGTGTGTTTCTGTGTGTGAATTACCTTCAACCTTCGATAATATCCACTTTCCTCTACTTTTGATCTCCTTCTTAGTGTCGTAGAAGTTGATAAACGGTGTGCTGGGATACGTTCCGTTGAACATCCTTTTTCGTGTACACACCTGAGGAAACCACACCAAAGCATGACCGAATGTACAAACACAAATATCACTCAAATACGTAAAATATATTTGTGGCATCATATTCAAATAGAAATTGAAACTACAAAGATGATATGGACTTTAGACCAAAATTAGATTATCCCTATGGTATCACTACGGTTATTCTGTAGAGTGTGTAATGGAATTTAAACAAAACCAATGGAGCTAGCTTTATCTATCACCTTTAATGGTGGCGATTTGATTGTCAGCATTTCCAGGATGCCAATTTTTGAAAACAATTTGACAATAACATTATTGTAGGAGTTAAAGATTTAAAGAAATGCAAACTTGGTGGACATTTGTGTTGAAAAAATAAATCATGTAATACGAGAGATGAAGCCTGACAAAATAACCAAAACATCTAGTCAAATCGGTGCTAACAGTGACAAAGATTTTACTATTTTCTTTCACAATCTAGAAGATAAAATCCTACTGTATGACAAATCTCTAGAAATTGAGCCCGATATGCACACCATAAGAAAGTAAGGGAAAAAAAAAAGGTCTACTAAAATAAGGAAATTCGAAATCTGGTGTATAGTACGAATCAAACAAGTTTTGTAAAGCAATTAAACCAATTGATGTGCCTGGAAATCAATTTGGCCTTTAACTTGTCCATGATACAAACTAAAAAATGCCTACAAACTAAATGAAAGGCAGTTAAAACAAGACAGAGCGAGATACTCACATGTCCAAAGTGTCCTCTCCTGGAGCAGTTGTAGCAGTAGGCGGGGGTCCGACCCCGATCTTTTCCCTTTGGCTTCAAAGGAGTGCGTGTCTCAGTCTACACAGAGAAAAATCAAAGGAGCTTGTTAAAATTAAATTAAATAATTGTATAAGGAGGTGGTTAACCTCCCTCTTCTCATTCCCATGCTCTCTACCGATACAGGCTGCTGTGTATTGTACGGCGAATATGGGTTCTGATACAAACCAGTGATTACTAGGCTATAGTTAGAGGCCTGTAATGACCCTATATGATAAGTAACCGTGTGTGTGTGTGTGTTGGACACAGGGTCCCGTCCCCTATGGGCCGGTGTTCTGAAAGCCTTCCATGCTCCAGCGCACACAGCAAATATACACTGATAAAGAGAGAGAGAGGAGACACACAGGCACAGTGTATTTACTGCTAATGTCTCACACACACACACACACACACACACACACACACACACACACACACACACACACACACACACACACACACACACACACACACACACACACACACACACACACACACACACACACACACACACACACACACACACACACACACACACACACACACACACACACACCTAACTAAGGTGCCCCCTCCTTCCTCTCTCCCCCCTGATTCCAAGATTACAAATTATTTGTGCCCCACGTCATTTCTTAAACATAGCTTAGCAACCTCCCCTCCCTCCCTGCTTCCCTCTCTCCCTTGTTCCCCTCCTCTCCCTCTGTCTCTCTCTCTCTTTTCCGCTTGAGTAGTTTTGCGGCAGAAAGGATGAATGCTATTAGAGCGTCGCGTCATTATCGGGTCAGGCCGGCCGGGCCCATCTCCATCACAAAGGCCGGGAGATCACAGACCTCTTGCGAGCGCGCACACACACACACAAACAAACACACATGTGCACCCTAAGGAGATCACAGTACCCGGCTCAAGCCCCCTTCACCCTTTTCTAACCCTCTTCCCATTCATCCTTCATGTAAATTGGCTGTAGGTCTACCTCTCTCTCCCTTACTGACCTTGGGCTTGCGTTATCTCCACACACTCTGATCCAGCACATCAGCAGAATGAATGAAAGCAATAGAGAGGGGAGGAAAAAAGAAGAGGAAGAAATGAAATCCCCTCCTATTCTCCCATAAACCTGTGATAGTGGTCTGGAAACCTGGCGTGAATGTGTGTCTGTATGCGTGTGAGGAGTTGTCTGCCTCATACAATATTAATTAACTGAATGAACCTTCATCCCACTCTGTTTTCATCCGCCGCTTCCTATCGGGGGCATCTAAATTGCTAACAGGGCCAGGGCCTGTGGGATCAGATCAGTTTGGTGTCTATCTTTTTCTCATGGGAATGAAGAGGAGAGTCTGGCTGTGCAGTGAAGTCAGTATGGCACATTGAGGTTTGGCTTTGACTCTCTTGTCTTTCTCAGTAAAAGCTAGAGGGGATATTTTGTGATCACGATGAAAATATGTAGCCGGACAAATCCAATCCATTTATTGTGGTCCACTCACACAGAATTATGATAGTAGTGCACGATAAGCATTTGTTTGGATAATAAATCATGGTTTAAACTTGAAGAGAAACAATGTTGTATATAACCAGAATCAATCAAATAAAAATCCTCACTTATATCCGCCGCCGCCTACTTTCCCAGAAGGCGTTAATCTCTCCATTCATAAACTTGCTAGACATACAATTCCCAGCATGGGAGGCAGCATGAAAAACGCTGGTGTGTGTTTAACTAACGGTCCTGTGAATGACGAGACAGCAGGAGAGATCCAAGTCTGATCCACTTCCTGCTGATACGACGTGAAGAGCTTCTGCTTCTTCTGCTGTTCAGAGACACTTTGCCAGTCCGAAAAAAAGAAGACTGAAGCTGGATGAGGACTAACGATTTAGTGTGTGTGCGGGTGTGTGTATAGAAGGGTGTTTGAGAAGGTCCTAAGGGCTTCCCTAGGTGGACGCACACAACCAGCCATCCGTGGCCTCTCATGCAGGCACACACTGACACATGAGCGCACTCTCTCTCTCTCTGTCAAACACACACACACACACCCTTATTTCCCACAGTTGTCCCGACACATGCACTGTGTCTCTCTAAGCCTTGCTCTCCTCTGCTCCTTGCCTTAGCTGCTGGTGGCAAAGCTGTGATAATCCTTTGGCCAACACAAAGCTCAGACTGTTACAGACTACAATCTGAAGGAACACACACACACAGTCATCAAATACAATCCGAGAAGCAAACAGGCTTGTGTGCGTGTCTGTATGTGTGTGTGTGTGTGTAAGAGGAGAGGGGGTGGGATCCGAACGGTAACGGGCGGTGGGTGCGTGGGGGCTGGGGCCAGCGGCGCTGTTTTGCATATGTTATTGCAGCAATGGAGAGAGGTTTGCATATGTTACTGGACCCACAAGGGACCAACTCTGCATGCTTTATCATAGAAAACAGCCTCACAACACAACACCAGACTACTGGGCTCATACCAAAACAAACAAACGGACCCTTGTGGTGCCCGTGTGTGCAACATGCCAGTATGTACATATTAGGCTAACAGGGAGGGTTCATTAGACAGTTGTGAAACGGCTATAAGGTGAACATTTTCTCAAGGAGAATATACAAGAAGCAATTACAGAACCTCTAATCCACGTATCCATTTGGGAATTTGAACAGTTCAAAATTATAAAGAACTTATTCACATTGTTTGCTCCTACTCATGAAGAGGAAATCAGTCATTCTCATGAGATACTTTAAGGTGGAGGTGTGCAGTTAGGGAGGCTATGGAGACGGTAAAGGAAGAGAGAGAGGGGGGGGGGGGGGTCCTCCAAGTAACCAGATGTGATTCCTGCCCCCTTTGTGTCTGCCAGTTCACAAAGACTCAGGCCGAAGCCCTAACCCCGCGCCCTGCGAGGACACACACACACACACACACACACACACACACACACACACACACACACACACACACACACACACACACACACACACACACACACACACACACACACACACACACACACACACACACACACACACACACACACACACACACACACACACACACACACACACACACACACACACACACACACACACACACACACACACACACACACACACACACACACACACACACACACACACACACACACACACACACACACACACACACACACACACACACACACACACACACACACAAATTCCCAGAGGCTCTTCCTATCTCCTCCCGTCAGTCAGTCAATCAGTCTGAAGACAATCAGGAGGAGTCCTGATTTTCTCTTTAGAGGAGGAAAATGCTCCTGGAATGTAATGATAATATGATGCAGGGAACAGCAGTTGGGTTGCCACCTCTTGAGGAAGACCCCCCTTTTAGGGCAGCGACTGGAGGTAATCTGGTCCCACCGTGGAAGGCGGAACAGAGGATACAAGCTAATCTATTCAAATCTCGGTCTAAGTTATTTGATTTCTTTCCACTGCTCAATGGCCTTTTTCTATTGTTGCCAGTGTTTATGGAAACATGTTATTCAGTTTTTCCCCCCAGCAATTAGAAAGAGACAACACCAATGTACATGAGAGACAGGGATTTGGATGCACTATATACAGATGGACTTCTGTGCCCTGGTCAGGATGTTAAATCCTGATTTTACATCTAAGCCAACAAATCACACACAAAAACACACTTCCAGGCACACACATACTCCACAAAAACGACACTATCCAGCTAAGCGGAAAGGCACAAAGACCTGCAAAGCCTGCAAGACCTCTGATAACGCTGCACCTGTGTGTGTGTGTGTGTGTGTGTGTGTGTGTGTGTGTGTGTGTGTGTGTGTGTGTGTGTGTGTGTGTGTGTGTGTGTGTGTGTGTGTGTGTGTGTGTGCGTGTGTGTGTGTGTGTGTGTGAGCATTTGTGGGTACATTCCTGCGGTTTTGTACATATGTACATATAGCAGTGTTTTTTAAGACACCTGAACCAACATTTAAAAAATACTATCTGATATCTAAAAGTAATGATTACTTTTATCAGCAATTAATTAATTCGTCATGGGAATAACCTGCTGTTGTAAATCTTGGTCAATTTATGACCGACTAAATCGAAATCTAAATATTATATATAAGTAAGAGTTTGTTTTCATGTAATGCAGCAAGCCAACTTTCCCATGCGAGACATTAAAGAATGAACTGTACTGATTTTAATTTTGAGTTGCAGTAAGGCTGTCAGAGAAAAAGGATATATACCAATTAGCTATAACTGCTATAAGGTGCCATGGTCTTTCTACACCTCTCCTTAATGAACTGCACCACCCAAATTACTTTAACCCTGCAAAACTTTCTTTGACCTGGTGGCTGCTCGATGTTAATGGAATTAGATTTAAAACGTACAAAAGACATTTCCTTTTACAAATGTACCCTCCCCTGCCTCCTGCGCCTTCAGTGTCTCAGTCTGTGGAGAATAAAGGGCAGAGTCTTTGGCATGGCGGGGGTGAGAGGTCTGTACTGTACAATGATGAGGCAGCAAAAACAGCTCACTGAATGGATGTGGATTTAAAGGATTTTCACAAAGCACTGTTTGAATTGAGCCCTTTCTTGTACGAGAAATAAGAAAAGAGGTCAGCCAGACAGAAGGAAGGACAGAACGAGAAGTGGAATAGAGGTTGAACCCTAAACCTGGGATTTGAAGTTCAGCAGAAAGAACTGAAGAGTTAAGACCGGTATTATCCTTACTATTAGAATTATGGGTAATTTGTGAGGCTCAAGTAATGTAAAAAAGGGTGATGTGCATTAGATACGGTTTCAACACGCAGTGCCTTAATGACAAACCTTGAGAGGCGGGTTAGTGTTGCAAAGATTACCCTTCACCAATGTGGAGAATACATTTTAACTACACCTTTTCTTTTACACCTCACATTCTTAATCACCATGAATGAGTTGCGTTATTTTTTTAATTCACTTATTATGTTTATACATTATATGATTTATTTTGGTTGAAGAGGGACAACAAAATACATTTGACCCTCAGCTAAAAAAAACATACAAGCTGGCTACAGATGCACAGTTGCCATGTTTCTGCATAAAAACTC